TGTGGGAGGTGTCGTTCACATCAGGCAATGCTTCTTGAGAAAAGCAAACTCAGAACTGGTGTGTATTTTTACGGGGCAAGGCCACTTTAAGCAATACCTCCAATCTCATCTCATCAAATGGACTCCAGTTGGTTGACACATGACTTCAATTAGCTCTTAAATATGTCATTGGTCTAGGGCAGGGATTCCCTAAGTGTGGTGCGCGCACCCCTGGGGGTGCGAGAGCTGCCGTTAGGGGGTGCGCGAGGTGAAAAGTGTAATGGCTGCGGAGCTCAGAGAAGTCTGTCATGTGTCACCATTAGCGTAGCCAGAAACTCATTTGTGGGTGGGCCTAAGACAAAGTAAATGGGCCCAATAAATGTAATCGAAAACAAGTATATTTTGTGTGTGTGTGTCCTCCGCATGTGCCCTAGCTTCATAATAATAATGCGCCGAGCTTCAGCTCTCTGGCCTGCGCACGCTGTCAGTAGCAAGATATGTTCCATATTTGATCATTTTTAACAATGTTGGAGAAATCTGAAGGTGGTGAGTCATTCTGGCAGATTGTAATTAACACCCTGTCTTATGCAGGTGTTCTGACATTGTAAACCTCACACACAGAACATTGTGGATGTAACAAAATAAATCAAGAAATGATTCCCATCTGAGCATTTTAGCATTATTATATTAGCACACTGACTGTGGGACAGTATTCTAAACGTGTCAGGCTATTAACAGCGCGCTGATCTGAAGTTCAGACGCGTTCCAGCAGAACCACGGCTCACGGGTGCACAAGTGAGCACATCTGGGCCGGGCAGAAGTAATTTTACAACATTGGTTTAAATATCGCCAATAACGAGACGCAGTGACTGGAGTGGCTCATGGAGCTGTGCCGCACACACACACACACACACACACACACACACACACACACACACACACACACACACATACACACACAGATTCAATAAGCGCACCCTGCGCAAACTGCGTGTGTAGGGGTTCACATACTTTTTCCACCTACACTTTTGAATGTTTACATGATGTGTTCAATAAAAACATGGAAACATATAATTATTTGTGTAGTATCAGTCTATTTTTATGATTTAGATGATGATCAGATCACATTTTATGACCAGTTTGTGCAGAAATCCATATAATTCCAAAGGGTTCATGGACTTGTTCTTTTAACTCTATAAGAAGGATGTGTTTTGCTTCAAACATTTTTTGCACATCTTCAGATGTTGAAGACAACAGATAAATCCATCTGAATCAGATCTGAATAGATAGTAAACCAATTACTGAATTTGTTGGCGCTATACAAATACAGGCCATTTACCATATGTATGTGTCTGGTTGGTTTTTGTCTAAAGACTCACATTAACTCTGCCGTTAACTTAGTGTAAAATGAAAACTCTACATTGTCTAGCAGCAATCGGGGAACTTATAGTGAGAGACAAATATGACCTAAAACTCTTAATACTGAGGAGAACCGTGTCAGACGTATCAGTAATTTATACACTTCATTTGGTTTTTGGGTGATGTCTGGTGAGTGGTGACTGAATTTTCTTGTTATTTTCCAGGTACTTTGAAGTGATGGAGGGCTTTGACAACCTCCCCAAGGCTTTCTACCAGCTATTAAATGCCACCATTCTACTCAACTCCAAGGTCAGGCAAATAAACCAAACAGGCCGCAGCAATGTGACTGTAACTTATGAGGACAGGCAGAGTTCTGGCACACTGAGGAACCTAACCGTGGACTATGTCCTTGTCACCGCCACAGCTAAGGCCACCCTCTTCATTGACTTCAAGCCCCCTCTGCCTGGAGATAAGATGGAGGCACTGCGTTCTGTTCATTACACCAGCTCCACAAAGGTGGTGCTCAGTTTCAAGGAGCGCTTTTGGGAGCAAGAGGGGATCAGAGGAGGGAAAAGCATCACAGACCGGCCCTCTCGTTTTATCTACTACCCCAGCCACAGTTTTCCAGGCACAGCCGCAGGGGCCCTGCTGGCCTCCTACACCTGCTCCGATGACTCCACCCTCTTCCAGGGCATGAGCCAGGAGGATTTGATGGCTGTTGTGTTAGAGGACTTGGTAAAAATTCACGGGGAGCACATCAGGCCTCTGTGCACAGGGGGAATGGTGAAGAAGTGGGGCTTAGATCCTTACAGTCTTGGAGCCTTCGCGCTGTTCACCCCCTACCAGCAGGAGCACTACGCCACAGAGCTGTTCCATAGCGAGGGCCGGGTGCACTTTGCAGGGGAGCACACAGCAACTCCACACGGGTGGATTGAAACAGCCATGAAGTCTGCACTCAGGGCAGCTAGTAACATCCACAGCTTGACTCTGTAGTTCTACGTGTATCCTGTTTAGTTTGGTACGTTCAGCTGCTCCAAACAGATGGAGCAGCTTTTTGGGGCTAAGCTAAATGACAAACAGTTGTTTATTACAAATTAAACTAATGTAATTAGAAAGATCTGTGTTTTTGTCTTTGTGTGTGGTAACCATTGACTGTTAAAATATTGGAAATACCCTCTGTGATGTCATCCATAACTTTCTAAAGGGCTTCTTTGAAGCCCAATGTGGTTGGTTCCCATCTTGGCCGTGTAATACGTCTTGTCACTATACCACCAGCTGACAGTGGGACTGTGAGAGTGTGAGCAAATGATTGACACCCATCTAACTCTGAACCAATGTAGATACAAGCAAAATGAGCTAATCCTAAGCTAACACGGTGCAAGTAGCAAACGGAGGTAGCTACGAGCTAACTGAGCAAACTTGAGCTAACCCAAAGCTAACACGGAGCAAGGAACTAACCATTGACTATTAAAATACAAGCAGTCTCAGACCGCAGCAATTAGGGCCGGGCTGCATGAGCCCACGCTCCACTTTGAAGCGGTTGGAGGTCCGATCTGAATGCGTGAAGTGGCGGAGCCAGGCGGCAGGGCCACATGAGCCCACACTCTGCTGCTCCGCAGTGGTCAGAGATCACCCAGCGGGACTGGTGCTGCAATATGGCTCTGGCCACGGTGAGGTGATGGGCAGCCGGGCCATGTGAGCCCAAGGTCCGCTCCTCCAGAGCAGACAGAGATGAGGGTGGCTCTGGCAGCGAGTTTCGGTACCCAGCCCAGTCAACGTCATATTTTAGCCCATTTTGACAAAGCAATGGTGTATTAATGCACAGGATTTTACCACATTCAACCAGCAAAATAATGTATGGAAATATAATTTTACTGAGGGTCAAATCTTCTTTTACCTCACTGATAAAAATGAAGAAGACACTTCTTAGATGGTCTGTTAACGTAATTGATACCACAGCTTGCCATTTTTGTCCAATAATTCCATGATTAACATCTGTACATAAATGCACAGAGGACAGCTAAAGTTCAGAGCATTAAATATTTGATAACTATTAATGTGAGGCCGAGGCCTTCCCCAGAGCTAGCCACTACACTCATGCTACCTGTCAATCAAATCAAATGATTCAGAATTTCAAGCAATTAATTACACCTAAGAGAAAGTTACAAAACAAATTCACCCAATTCACTTTAATTCTTATTGCTTTTTATTTGTTTTAGGAATTTTGTGAACATTGTTTTATCTAATTTTGAACTAATACAGTTCTTAATGGAATTAAGGTCTGACTAATCTGAAATGGCTGAAAAAAAAATTAATCACATCAAATCAAAATTTGGGTCTCAGGACGTTTAAGCTGTGGGCTAGTGTGTGTGTGTCACAGCGCTAACAGTTCCTGAAAAAACTTCAGCAAACCTGGGGAACTGTTGACCAAAATCACAGAGAAGTCTAGAAGCCATTAAATAATGAGGTGACTGAAGAAATTTAGACTTTATTATACAGACTCCATGCATAACAAAAGCCATCTAATAGATGGGGACAAAAACGGTGGGTGGGTGGGTGCGGTGCCTATCTCCAGCGGTCAATGGGCAATCAGGCGGGGTACACCCTGGACAGAGAGCCAGTCCATCGCAGGGCAACACAGAGACACACAGCACAAACAATCATGCACACACACACACCTAAGGACAATTTAGAAAGACCAATTGACCAATTCATGTTTTTGGATTGTAGGAGGAAGCCAGAGTACCCGGAGAGAACCCACGCATGCACAGGGCAAACATGCAAACTCCATGCAGAAAGATCCCAGGCTGGTAAGCGAACCCCGAACCCTGTACCTTCTTGCTGCAAGGTAACATCTCTAACCACTGCGTCACTGCGCAGCCCTATAGGGCTATATAGAGCCACCCCCCACCCACCGCACACACACACACACACACACACACACACACACACACACACACACACACACACACACACACACACACACACACACACACACACACACACACACACACACACAACTGAAGTAGTTCAAGCCTTTATTGTTTCTAATATTGATGATTTTGCCATACAGCTCATGAAACCCCAAAATTCCTATCTCAAAACATTAGCATATCATGAAAAGGTTCTCTAAACAAGCTAGTAACCTAATCATCTGAATCAACTAATTAACTCTAAACACCTGCAAAAGATTCCTAAGGCTTTTATAAACTCCCAGCTTGGCTCATTACTCAAAACCGCAATCATGGGTGAGACTGCCGACCTGACTGCTGTCCAGAAGGCCATCATTGACACCCTCAAGCAAGAGGGTAAGACACAGAAAGAAATGTCTGAACAAATAGGCTGTTCCCAGAGTGCTGTATCAAGGCACCTCAGTGGGAAGTCTGTGGGAAGGAAAAAGTGTGGCAGAAAACGCTGCACAACGAGAAGAAGTGACCGGACCCTGAGGAAGATTGTGGACAAGGACCGATTCCAGACCTTGAGGGACCTGCAGAAGCAGTGGACTGAGTCTGGAGTAGAAACATCCAGAGCCATCGTGTACAGGCGTGTGCAGGAAATGGGCTACAGGTGCTGCATTCCCCAGGTCAAGCCACTTTTGAACCAGAAACAGCGGCAGAAGCGCCTGACCTGGGCTACAGAGCAGCAGCACTGGACTGTTGCTCAGTGGTCCAAAGTACTTTTTTTCGGATGAAAACAAATTTTGCATGTCATTCTGAAATCAAGGTGCCAGAGTCAGGAGGAAGACTGGGCAGAGGGAAATGCCAAAATGCCTGAAGTCCAGTATCAAGTACCCACAGTCAGTGATGGTCTGGGGTGCCATGTCAGCTGCTGGTGTTGGTCCACTGTGTTTTATCAAGGGCAGGGTCAATGCAGCTAGCTATCAGGAGATTTTGGAGCACTTCATGCTTCCATCTGCTGAAAAGCTTTATGGAGATGAAGATGTCATTTCCCAGCACAACCTGGCACCTGCTACAGGGCCAAAACCACTGGTAGATGGTTTACTGACCATGGTATCACTGTGCTCAACTGGCCTGCCAACTCTCCTAACCAGAACCCCATAGAGAATCTGTAGGATATTGTGAAGAGAAAGTTGAGATGCAAGATCCAACACTCTGGATGAGCTTAAGGTCGCTATCGAAGCATCCTGGGCCTCCATAACACCTCAGCAGTGCCACAGGCTGATTGCCTCCATGCCATGTTGCATTGAAGCAGTCATTTCTGCAAAACGATTCCAGACCAAGTATAGAGTGCATAACTGAACATAATTATTTGAAGGTTGACTTTTTTTGTATTAAAAACACTTTTATTTTATTTGATGAAATATGCAAATTTTTTGAGATATGAATTTTGGGTTTTCATGAGCTGTATGCCAAAATCATCAATATTAGAAACAATAAAAGGCTTGAACTACTTCAGTTGTGTGTAATGAATCTAATATATATGAAAGTCTATTGTTTATCAGTACATTACAGACAATAATGAACTTTATCACAATATGCAATTTTTTGAGAAAGACCTGTACATACATACATAAATAATTATAAGGTCAAGAAGCAACAAAAACAACAATGAAAACAGGAAGCAAATAATTTTTCTAATTAAAATGATTTAATTTACGTACAGTTTGATCTTTATCTCTCAATTACACATCAGCTTAGCCAATTCTAAATCTTTAAGGAGATATGCTGAAAATGTGATTTATTTTTTTACTCATTGAACTTAAGAAATTAAAGATGTAAAACCTTCTAAACAATAGAAACATCTGATTCTGTTCTTTTATTATTAAATTGTTTAGGACGTACAGAGGTGTCAAGGCATCACAGTTAAGCTCCACCTAACAGTCCACTAAATCCTCTTTAGATGAATGTCAGATCCACATTCAGAAACACGGAGGTTTTCCTGGTTCTACCAAATAGAATAGGTTCTCCTCTAAACGTCTCTCATCAGGCTAAAAACCAACAGTCCAGTCCATGTCCTGCATCAGTGCGCTCCTTTCTGAACCATCTGTGTGAAGCGGTTGGTGATGCTCAGAGTGGTGTCGATGAATCTCTCAACACAGTTCACCAGGCAGGTCTCTGTCCGGTAGTCCAGCTTGGCGCCCGGACTATCCACGCACTTGTCCCAGCAGACATCAGTGAAAGTGTGCACCTGGAAAACACGTCAACACCTGGTCAACAGCTAGATATACAACTCTGAACTTTCAGATGGGATAAGGGTTCCTCATTACTGGAAAGCCTTTCCCTTAATGGGTCCTAATTTCCAGAAATATAATTGGAAATCTGCAGAATATTACCTCTCATTTGTGTAGACTTTTAACTAAAGATGCAGTCTGCAGTGCAGACCTACCATTCCTCCGTTTCAGGCTTTTGATGTAATCATTAAAAAATGGGCCACTTTAAGCTAATGTCTGTATGCATGATAAAAATCTGATCATCACCATCAAACTGCTGTTTTTAACTAAATGCTGTAGCTTTGTCTCCAACTTGGCTCCTCTTTCTTTTAAAACACGATTTAAATGTGTTAATGCTGCATTTACCTAACGGAGAAAAAGTGGAATGATCTTTGTGAAATGTATATGTTGATGGAAATAACCCTCCAGGTGTCCACGCTTCTGTAGATGGACGCGGACATGTGGCCTGGGTGGCTGCTGGCGTCCCTTGCTACAAACCTGAGCCTGGAACTGGGCCTTCTGCTGCTCTATGGCGATCATCTTCTGAAGTTCAGACCCTTCTGCCTTCTCAGAGGCGCTTAAGTTGTCAAAACTGTCCATGACTATCTTCTGACTGGACGGGAGGAAGTTGCTAGCGGGTGGCCGGAGTTGTCCTTCACGTCTGGTTAGCCACGCGCGTGCACAAACAGAACTGATCTATAAACAATAAGGATAAGCCTAAGTCTGCCGTGATTCGGTTCTGTACACGTTACAAATCGACTAAATGGGTGTGACGTAATATGCTGCCTTCACCAAGATGTTCTACAACTAAGAGGAGTTCACTAAAAGTGATTAAAAATGTAATTTTTTTTCTTCCGTATAATGTTGCACTTTGTATTTTGTTATTAAATCTGCTCTTATGTGTGGTAATTTATTACCTTAATTCAAGTGATTTTTGTGTTTTAGAGGCAAAATTACTTATTTATTTTTTATATCTGGCTGTTTTCAAATGAATAAAGAGGGGCGTGGTTAGACATCTGTAAATTACTCAGGCCACTAGTGACATGTTACATCTAACAGGACTGTGATAAAAAAATAATCTTTTTTTTAATATTAGGCCATGTGGCATCAGTTTCATCTTAAATTTCATAAAATATGATACAACATTTTTAATGTGTGACAAGGAGTGTGGTGTAGTGATTTCCAAAGATGTGTTAGTTGACTTCCCATCAAACAGAGAATCAGTTTCAAAATTCTACTCATCACTTTCAAGCTTTCATAACCACAAAACCACATAATTTAATTGTCTTTAAAATGTTAACATCTTAGTGTTTTATACATTTCCGTACTGTGTTTATTTTGTTCTATTTTATCTGTGTTGTTGTAAAGTTTCCTTGGGTGTCATAAAAGGTGCGTTTAAATAAAATGTTTTATCATTGTTATTATTGTTATTAATAAGGCAATTGGATACAGACAGCAGTCTTCTGGTGGTGGTTTGTTGTTTTTATGCTTACAAGGAACAAAATATTATTGTTTGAGCTGAAACTATCCAAAAGAATTAAATCATAATAATTTTAGTTTATCTGTTTATGTCCATAGACACATGGTTTATGTCTCCTGATATGTTTGTGTTTTTGATTGTCTTTATCAGTTACCACCACTCTTAAAGAAGCTTTATTACTGTTGATTTTATAGAAATAGTAAAAACTATTATTTTTCAGTCTCTTACAGCTGACTGGTCAGTGTAACAGGAAGATAGAGCCTTGCGATTTATTTATTTATTTATTTACTTATTTATTGCCTTTTTATATCAAAAACTCTTCAATCAAACCACCATTTTACTGCAAAAATGCGGAATCAAACATCTTTGAAGAGAATGTTAGTAATCTTCTCACCAGGTGAGATTCCATTATATTAAAATTCAACTTCACAAGAAATTTTTTCAGGTATATCAAAAAATAAAAGTATCAGAAACGACATAAAAGTGTGATTTTTGAACCATTTAATAATACATTTATTGACACTTTATTGCATATAATCAAACTGAGCATCTTCTGCAGTATTTAACATCTTTGACAGCTCTGGAACTACTTCCGGGGCACACTGGTGACCTTGGTAGGTGAACCATCATGGCTGCCATCGTCAGATTGAGCTCTATGTGCCGCAGAGGAGTAAAACGTGAGAACTGCTTCTTTTGAAATGGTTTCTGTAGTTTCTCAGCACGCACGCTGCTAAACTAAAGCGCTTCAGGTTTTCTGGATGATTTTTGCGGTCGCGCGCACACACTGACGTCACGACTGTGTTTGTGTTGTGTCAATTGTAGAAAAAAATTGAGGTTTTTCTGTAAACAAATGAAACAGTCTTCAGTAAACGTGTTAATCCGTTCATAATGTTTAATGCCGTAAAGTGAAACGAGTCTCATAATGACAACACTGTTGAGTGACGTGGACGCTGGGCTCAGATTATAATGTAGGAGTAATAAAGGACTCTGAACTTTCAGTGATTTGTGTCCAGATCTGTCTCATCGGTCTGAGCATCGGGATGTTTTCAGTAGACAAAAATAATTCACTTTTCTTCTATATTTGTCCGAAACGCTGGAGTGTAGGGAGGGGACATGGAGAAGCTGTACACGTTCGTCAGTAAAAGAAATATAAAACGTATCACAGAAGGAAAACAGCTCCTTCGTGTCCTAAAAGCAGCATGGAGATAAGAGATACTCTAGTCCACGTTTTAAAAGATCCAGCTCAAAGTTAAGAGTTTCACACTGAATAAATTCGTCATATAAACATTTTAGTTCAACCCAGAAGCTCATTGTTTTAGTGATGATCCAAAACTAAGGTCAGCTCCTGCTTTACCACAACAATCCAGATCAATACCCTCAGGCCTCCTCCCACCATTCTGGAACAAAACACCAACATGCACTATGCTTGAGGTAGGGGTAGGGCTGTCGCGGTTGAGGAATTCCCCCTGCGGTGATTCAGGGTGGCTTAATATTGCGGTGTGCGATATTATTGCAGCCCTTTTTTTATTGCAGTACTATCTAAACAATGTTTACACATTTAAAAAAGGTTAAAAATTGCCGTGCCTTCTTTAATAACACTTTACTGAATGCAGATCAAAGGGCAGTAACAACACAGATCGCAGTAACGTTTGTTTCTCTGACAGTCGGAGTCCGACTGAACTTAAAAACAACAAAATTCAGGAGAAGGTTAAACTTTTAAATGCAAATTTGGCTGCAGCATCTAACAAATAAGAAACAAGTCCCCATTTTGTTTAGTTGTTTAAAATCAAGCATAAAAATTACATGTACCGGCGCGGGGCACTATCACTTTCACCTTCACACACACGAATGACGGTGCTTTATAGCTCGGTCACGTCCTTGTTACCCACAAAGAAAACCAGCATGTTAACCATATACGGTTTGAGAGAGGATCTGAGAGGGGAGGCAACATTTCCAGCAACACTGAAAACCCTCTCGGATGGTGCGCTCGTTGCACTAACACACACGTACTTGCGTGCGACTGGCGAGCAAAGGGAATCTCTCCCGGTTGTTGCTCCACCATGTCAGGGGGGTTCTTTAGGGTGGATGCATTCCTCCTGCAGGTAGCGAGTGAGCTCCAGCTCGGCTCAAGCTCTCTTCGGGACGGCTGCAGAAGCAGTGCTTGTCCGGGACTTCAGCAGGTCTCCGAGCGTTTATTTATTTATTTATTTATTTTGCCGCTGGTGGCAGCTCTGTCTCGGCCAAGGACTCTGGCTGCGCAGCAGCTGACGTACTGAAAACCAAAGTGCTCCCAAAGGAGCGAAGTAACGTTTCGTTTTGATACCAGTGCAGCCATCCTTCTCAACATGCATCATTGAGTTGAATCAAGTTCAGTAATCGCGGTGGCCCATGATGCAGCGCGGTGGGCTTCTTCATATTGCGATATTTCATTTTTGCGGTTACCGCGACAGCCCTAGGTAGGGGCTCAATCCCAGCCTAGAAGAAACATCCCACCTTTTAAAGTTAGTCCCATTGGTCATCACACACTGGTGAAATTACATCTCCACATATGACGACCCATCCCCGTGGGGAGCAGTGAGCAGCAGCTATGGCTGCGCTCGGAACCATTTGTTTGTTTAACCCCCCAATCCAACCCCGTAGAGCTGTGTGTCAAGCAGATTGTTAAAGTCTTTGGTATGACCCGACCGGGATTTGAACCCCGATCTCCCAGTTCCAGGGCGGACACTCTTCCACTAGGAGATCCATGACCTCAGACATGGACAAGCTGACTCATTCTAAGCCATGAACCACCCTAGATCACACTAAACCTTGTTAATGACCAAAAGCAGAGGACGGACTTTAAGAGTGTCCGAACAGACATCCTCCCCTCAACGACTATGCTTTAAGTCCTGGTTATGAGTTCACCAAAAGGGTCAGAGAGGAGGAACAGCTCTGGTGGAGTTGGGAATCACCAGGACTGAGCTTGGTGCTGAGAACATGGACTCTTACTTTGGTTGAATGAGTACTGAACAGATCTTATCCTCCTGCCGCTCCCCACACAACTTCTCGAGGGTCAAATCTTCTTCAAGTACGCAACCAGGGGTCCACTGGATCTTAAAAAAAGTGTTATAAGTTGATCAGTTTGCCTTAGGAAAATGAAGAGCCATGAAAAGTCTTAAATTAGATGGACATGTTGTTGATGCCTGTCACTTGTGTCCATTCATGTGGTTTTCTGTTGTCTTTCCCCAGCTCTGTTCTACCAAAGCCCCCTGCTCTCCAGACCAGTTGCAGCCCTACAGAGAGACCATGAGCAGCAGCACCTGCCAACTGCCAGGATTCATTCTTCACAAGCTCTGCATGGTCAGTGTGTGTGTGTGTGTTTGTGTGGGGGCAGGGGTGTTTCATTCATCATGACCGCCGACGATAGACACATGTTCTCTATGGACCACGAGGAGACGTGTGTTACTGGCAGTCACAGTTATTATGGGTCAGTATTGACTTCACTGATTTAGGGAACTGAAACTAAGGGAAGTGTGTTTGTGATCCTGATTCCATCTTTACTTGCATTGACTTCCCAAAACCCCACAGGTGAGCTCTAAAGGGGTTAGAAAAGCAAGACCCATAAGAGCGAATACTTCCAAAGGATGAAGTTATAAAATAATTTTGTCAACGTTTTGGGCCAACATGTACTTTTAAATAGAAATGTGATTAGTTGCACTGTGGTGTAAGATTGTAGCCCACATTGTCATGATTAAAAAGGGTCAATTTTCACTATCGAATTGACACAGCGTAACCTTTCATGCACGCCAGAACTGCAAAGTCAAGGTTACGCCAGCTGGAGTTCATGTAGAATAGCTTCCACCCAGGAAACACTATTATGGCTCAATATGGGGAACTGAAAGCTCAGCTCAGCGATCACCAACAGGCTCTGTCTAGATTCTGAGTTCCATGTTCTCCACTCTCAGCTGTCTGGGTGAAACAGATCTGAGTGAGACGCAACGCTCTACAGCACGGACGGTTAAAGCTGTGTTCCGTGTTGTAGGTACTGAGGTTTGTGTTGCAGATGTGGTCAAGCTGCAGATGTTCTCTGTGGTTTCACTGATGATAGGTGGTAAAAAGTCAAGTTCTTACCACATTTAAAAAGATGTATCAAACAGCTGGAGGCAACATCTGATTTGACTTTTGTTAAAGGAACACTTGGCAGTTTTGACTTGCTTTTAGCGCCTCCTAGTGTCGCTTAGTAGAACCAAAAGCAAAACCTATCTCCCTGCTGTGTGTTGGTCCTTTTAACACCTTCATCTAACAGCTGAAATGTCTCCCAGTCTTCCTTAAGCTTGGTTTATGCTTGACGCATTCACTTTCTGCTTGGTGATGCGGCTCGCGGCTGAAACGCGCTTCACAACTCGCAGCGTTTATGGTTTGTGCGGCTCGTCTCTGCGGTGAGCCAATATTCTCCCAAACTGTAGGGGGCAGCATGGAGCTCTACAGCATGCATCCAACACTACACCATAGTAGAAGTAGAAATCACTGTTTACAACATGGTATTTCAGCATTTTTAACAGCGTTCTCGTCTTTTCCGACAGTGCGAGCTATTTCTCTCCAAGAATTATTAACAACACGTTGATCACGGTGATCTCTGAGAGCTGAATCGTACAAATGTATGTATTTACGAACCTCTGCCGTGCCGGTCCGCCATGTTTTTCCGCGTCCGACCGTCCGCGTGGTTAGAAATTTTCCGAGGTGCGCGTTGCGGAAATCTTGGGCCGTGCGGAGACGCGGTGGAGCGGCGTGGTTGTTAAAATGACGCAACTTTTCCGCGCGGAGCCGTGCGGACCTCGCGGACGCGTCAAGCATAAACCAACCTTTAGTGTCTACACAGTGTTTCCCTTACATAGGCGTAGCCATGGGCGGCCCGCCACGGCTGAAATCCCAGCGCCACGCCTACAAGATCCCAAGTTTTATTGATTGATTTATGTATGTATTTATTTATTTATTTATTTATTGCACCGTTTCCCGAAGAAGCCGCGAGAACTACTCTGTTGTTGCTTGTGATCACAGCCGGCAGGCAGCAAGGAGGAGGACGCAGGGCAGGGTGGTTACAGCTAGTGATGAACGTACGGATAAAGCATTTTTGACGAATACGAGCATGAAACGAGTAAAACTCGTAAATATCTGTCATCGTGCTGAAGGAAAACCCTCATTGGGTAACTGACTGTCGTCACGCTCTGTGATTGGCCAGTCACATAGAGCGCCCGCCCCTCCCTACACACAAAACTGCAATAAATGGAAAATTTATCGTTATCGAAATTTCTGACTCTTATCGAGATAATTTTTCCCATGTCAATAAATTTGATACTAAAAAAATAAAAAGATGTGTGTAGGTTGGCAACATTCATGTCCCTTTAAGAAGCTGTAACACCTGGAGTCACGTAAAAATGTGACTCAATGTAATACACGTGACAGCCCCATCTAGTGGACAAATAATGTTTCTGCGTATACCTGTAGTTATCGTCCATTTATCGTTTTCGAGGTGAAAGCCTCAATATATCGTGATATTAATTTTAGGCCATGTTGCCCAGCCCTAGTATGAAAATTTGCATAGAATCCATTTAAGGATGTTTATTTCGGTTATAAAAACTTTGTCAAAAAAGGAAAAAGTATGTTGTTTCCTTTTTTTCCCCTTCTTATTGGAGGTTTTGTCTGAAGGATGGAAGACTGAATTCTTTTTGCTAAATCCCAAAAATGCTGATTACTAAATAATTGATTATGTTTATGTTTACAGTGATCCCTCGCTACTTTGCGGTTTGTTTATCGCGGATTCACGACTTCGCGGATTTTTTCTTTGGAGCCTTATTCAAGGGAAATTCGCCGATTCGTGGTATTTTTCACCGATTCACTGTATTTTTCTATGCGAAATATCAAGAAATTCCTGTTTTTTTCATCAATTTCATCATAAAATGCACTTTTTGTAATAAACAAAAAAAAAAAAACAAGTAAAAAAAATTTTTCTTGAGTTTTACCCACAAAAAGAAAATGTGATCATACGATAATTCAATATAGTACTGTACTGTAAATATGGTGTTCCTACTTTGCGGATTTTCACCTATCGCGGCCAGGTCTGGAACGCATCTACCGCGATAAACGAGGGATCACTGTATTTATTTGGCAGACGCTTTTATCCAAAGCGACTTACAATTTATAACCTATAGGGCATGTTGTGATCTGTGGGGGAAACTGGAGTACCCGGAGGAAACCCACGCATGCATGGGGAGAACACGCAACTCCACGCAGAAAGGCCGCAGCCAAGTTTCGAACCTGCAACCTTCGTGCTGCAAGGCAACAGTGCTAACAACTGCGTCACCATGCAGCCCATGATTAAAATATATTCTAGTAGTCACACATTAGGAGATTGAGTACACTGTAGCGGATGGAGTCTGCTGAGTGCTGTGATGAAACAAAATAAGGGAACAGATGAAGGACTGGAGTAGAAGTTGGTCTCTGAACCAAAAGGCCCAGTTCAGAGTTGATTGACTTGTCTGGTGGGGTCTTCTGTTTAGTGTTTATTTGAAATCTGACAGCAGGAAGCAGAGGTTTCTTTTAAAGCTCAGCTGTACTCCTTTTGCCCACCTTCTGATAAACGTTTGTCTTGTTTTGCTGCAGGCTCTGACGCTAAAGCCGCTTCGCGTCACTGGACAGCAGAGCGAGTGCTGAGCGTGGTGCTGCTCGCCATGGGCCCTGTAGCATACTTTAGCCCTGGTCCTGTGGTGGACTACTCCCTGGCTGCTGCTCTAACTCTACATGGACACTGGTGAGATGCAGTAACGAACATCCTCTCTGGTTTACAACCCAGAGCCTTCACACTGTCTATTTTCACTTCCTGTGAACTTTTTCATTACTCAGGATAAAGGATCTGGGAGGGGTCATTGGACCAATTCCTCTTTGATTTTGTGCAACTTAATTAGAAAGTAATTATGCAAGTCTTGAATCAATAAAAATTGGGTTTAGGATGGTTAAAAGACAGTTTAAAATGAGAAATGAATGGTGCTCTTGGTTTAGTTTTCCTGGGAAAACCTGAATGGTGAATTTCCCTGTGGCGTTAGGTCGATTTGAGTTTCCATCCACTGGGTCATTGTTCAGACTTCCAGTCTCCCAGGTCAAGTGCAGTCATCGTTGCCTGTGTGGACTTAATGTCAACGGATTATTTCACAGATCAAGAAACTTATTTGAACTTAGCACAAACTTGTTCCAAAGGTCTCCACTGATTCCAAAGATTCAGCTTTTCTCACTGAAGCTCACAGGATAAAAGACACATTTTTTCAGGAGGGTTGGAGGGGAGGCTAAGTTGTGGGTTGGCGTTGCTGTCCTCCATCAGTCAGAGCAAAGACTAAGTGGCGTGGCAGCTAAATCCCACTCAGAAGGATCCGAACGTTCCGGAGTCCTGTGTTTAAAGTCTGGAAAGCTTCCTCCGTTTGGCAGAGGGTTTTAATCTAATAGGATTTTATAGCTCTAAAGAATGTTGGGAATGAACGCCGACCAGATGAACCAATGAGGGATAAGCTCTGATGTAGGTCATGAGGGGAATCACATCAGATGCTTTAACCAAGTTGTCAATTGGAAACTGTGGTTTCTCACATTGCAGGGTGTCCGCGGGGTTTTAAAAAGTATTAAAAAGTGATAAATAAAAATAGTCAAATTTAAGGCCATTAAAAGCGTTAAATTTGGTCTCAGAGGTATTATTTTTTCCAAATTAGGTATTATTTTTTTCAGGCTATCAGGTGTCGTATTATGAACATCAACATAGAAATATATTCCGAATGAAATGTTTTGAACGATTATAAAAACAAAACAAGCCGATTATTTGCTCCTCCCGCTTGCGCTGCCCTGAGTTGCAAATGAAGCGCTCCTCCCACAGTGTTGCCAACTTGGCGACTTTGACGCTATTTCCAACAGCTTTTCAGACCCCCTTCTTGACTTTTTAAATCTTAAAAGTACCTAGCGAACACCTCAGAAACATCTCTGGTAACCCTTAGCTACTTTCTGGATAACTGTCGTCGACATTTCCTGCAGGTTAGCTAAACACTCCGCCTGCGCTCCCGACCGTTCTTCAGGACATTAGGAAAGGGAATGATGTAGTGATGTGTCGGTCGCTAAAGAAACGGCTCTCGGAGCCGGCTCCCTGTTGGAGAAACCAGAGTGAGTGACACACACACCGCACCTGCGGGCTCCTGAGCCGCTAAAAACGGCTAAATGTGCGCGTGCTGCGTGCTAAACACAGGTGCAGCTTGCCCCTGATTGCTGTGAGACCGGGTTGGGGGGTGGGGGGTGCAGCTGTGGTTGGGACAATTATTACATTAACTGATGGACCTGTAATTAAATAGTTTATAAATAAGGTAGAAATAAGTTCCTCACGCTGATAAATAATAACGAATCTCTCTGAGGACACGGTGCTAGTGCACGCTCCTACAGCACCTTGACACGACTAAATAAATGTTATGCAACATTTTGTGAACATCAATTTATTTGCATTTATTTGTTATAAATGCCACTGTATAATTCTTGTTGTCAGTATTTGCAAGATATTGGTATTTGGGTCTGTACTGGTTAGACTTAAATGAGTTAAACCAAGGTCTATAGCCCTTGGGTCATAGACTATGAGCTGTAAGTATATTGGTCTTTTTATACTGGGAATCAGGAGTTCTTTTAGTGATCATCTTGTTTCTTGTTTATTTTTGCCCTGATTGTGCCCTGAGTAGGGCTGGGGGTAAACAAGTATTTTTAAAACGATTATTCTGACGATTATTTTATCGAATAGTCGACTATTCTAATGACTATTTAGATGATTAATCTAGCGATTATTTTTCTATTGCACAATTAATAAAAACCAAAAAATCTCAAATAAATTCTTCCAAAAAATGGATAAATTGTTACTGTAAGAGAATAAACACTACAGGCCTTCCATTTTGTATAACACTGCTTTTATTGTGTTGTGGTTGGTTATGTTCTGGTGACGTGTAGAACTTGGGAGTGCAGGCTGCTGCCTGAGAGGTGGTTGCAGACAGAGTGTCTCCATGCTGCTTTGTTTTGGTCACTTATGAGCGTGAGGCGAGTGGTGTTACGATCCTTCCTGGGGAGTTTGGCTTGTGTGCAAAAAGGAAGGGACAATAACGGGATTTAAAAGTTAAAATGATGATCAGGTTTATTTACAACTACAAAAAAACATAAATATTTCCATCCACAGGTTGGGAATAATAAAACTAATTCTGCCTGTGGGAAATTAAAACAAAAGTACAAATAACCTGGGATGTCCCACTGGGCAACGATTACAGGGTTCTGGACCAAAATAAGGATCTCCAAAGGTCCAAACTCTAAACCAAACTCGAGGTGATATTTTAAACTAAACCGAAAACCCACAACACTCTAAATGTAATAAAAGGAAGATCTGCACCACAAAAAAGATGAACTCTAAACCAAAACGTAACCGCTTATCCAAACGCAAGTAGCTTTACCAACGTTAAATTCAAGTTACCAAGTTTAAATAAACCAAAAACACCCAGCAGCAAACAGACCAGCACGGAGGAGAGACTGCTACCACCAAAACAGCTCTCCTAATGTCTGAAAGAAGCTCCTTAATGAAGGGAGAAACGCTCCCGGTGATGTTCTACATCTGCGATAGAGACAAAGCAGCACATCTGACCCCGGAAGTTGTTGTCCGATGCAGGAGACGAAGGAGGGCAAAACAGGAAAGGAATCTAGTAGTGGACGGACGTTGTTCCGGGTCTTCGGTATTTGGCGGAGATGTTAGTGAAGGCGGAGAAGAGGGCGAACTAGAGGAAAAACAGGCAGATTCCTCCTCCATTTACAAACTCCTGGGGATGCAACAAGTGGGCGCGGTGCGTTGACTACCGGATCTGACGTCGACGAATTTTTAGAATCGAGCCGTCGACGTCATCGATGCGTCGCCACAGCTCTAGCACTGAGCAATTTTATGACTGAATAAAAAAATAAAATAAAAAATCTACATTAATTGAAAAATCATCTTAAATAATCGAGATCTCAATTTCAGTCACAATAATCGTGATTATTGTTTTTACCTTAATCGAGCAGCCCTACTTTAGCATATCCGGTCACATAATGATGACGTCATATTCAGTGGTCGTTGTGCATCATTTCAGGCCTCGTGGTCAACTGTCTGAACCGCTGAACAGAAGTGCCTGGCTTATTTTCTAAGTAAAATAAATATGTGCAATACGTTGTCAACATCAGTGAGTCTCTAAGTCTATTCTTTTTGTATGTTATATATGTTAAAATATGTGTAAATAGGTCGCTGATTAACATTTGCAATTTAGTGTTGTGATGGTTTTAAAAAAATTCTGAAGGTAGTAAAAAAAGGCATTAAAAAGTAGTAAATTTTACTTAAGGATTGCTGTATATACCCTGCATTGGCAAATTTGTTCCCTTCTTTGGAACGTGAATAACTCTAAATGGGTTCAGACACTTCCCTTCTGCTGTTTGAATGACTTTTTTCGCATCAATTCTGAAGAACCCAAGTGGGATTGGTCACAGGACCTGTGGGTCGATCTAAGCTATGACTACACATCTGTCTGACTCCTTTTGGTTGTACTGGACAAAACTAAAACTAATTATTAACATCTAAAACAAAAAGTCAAAACTACAAGCTTCATTGCTATTTATGTAGCCACGCTGATGATACACATTACAATAACCCATCAGTGAACAAATTAGGTCTTGTTAGGGTTTTTGTTTCTCTGCCCAGTGCAGAAACTTCTGTATGCGGTAAAGCTGCTATAGCAAATCTACAGAACAAGCTAAGTTTTGAACACCAACACAATCACAGAACACTCCCCTCTTACCTCAGGTATCTTCCATAGCCATTTTTACAAAACAATGCAGTGAATTTGCCACAACGCCGTGGTGGCATCATGGAACCGTAGGTCATACAAGTGGTCAGACCGTGATGGTAATCTGGTGCAATCGAGATTAGGTGATGGTGGCATAAAGAGGGTATAGGGTGGTTCCTGCGCTGCAGCACGCTATCTTGGACATTACTTGCCTTTTATTGCTATTGAAGCCGTGATCATTCTGTTTTAACAAGCCGCTCCTAAAGGTGTCTGTCCCCCACAGTCCTCGTGCTGTCTCTAGTGATCTGAGCTCCAGCTCTAATGGAGAGAAGCTCATGGAGCGCTGCAGTGCTCCAGTTTGCCTTTTCAGCTTCTTTAGTTCAAAAATCACGGCCCGTGTTTATTTTCATTTTCAATATAGTTGCTGGCCAGAGCTCGGTATTAACTCCCTACGTCATCGTGACACCTCCCTCTGTTATGCAAAGGCGCAATCACCATTTATAAGACAGACAATTACCGCAATATTACTACCAAGCGAGGTGGAACAAATGCCACAAAACTGGCACAACTACATGTCGGCATCGGCATGGCGCGTTTATAAAACTCACCGGTAATAATATGCCAATTTGCCAGCCCGTTGCATCTAGTAAAAGTGGCTTCTGCTTGAAGTGGAAGTGGAAACACCAATCACCGTTTCTAGGTCCAAACGTCTTTTGTTGTCTGTGACTTCAAATTAGGGATGAGCCGGATAGGTACGGATAAAGCATTTTTGACGAATACAAGCGTGAAACGAGATAAACTCATAAGTATCTGTAATCGTGCTGAAGGAAAATCCTCATTGGGTAACTGACTGCCTTCACACTCTGTGATTGGCCAGTCACATAGAGCGCCCGCCCCTCCCTACACACAAAACTGCAGCCGGGAGCTCAGTCCGTCCGGCCCATCCACGCATACACACAGACCGTAACGAATCTCTCAGTGCTTGCTTCACGTTTCTTCAGTACTCCCTAGGTTTTCGTCAGCTTGCCTCTTTTTCGATTTAATATTTAAAGTTACTTTTTTCGTAACGTATGTGGTGCATTTGACAAGATAGAGATGAAAATGGCTCGTGCTGAGTCGGTCACTGCCGCCGTTCCTCTCTAGTGATGGGATTCGTGGCTCTTCCGTGGGAGCCGTTCATTAGTCGGTCGTTTATCTCAGAGCCGTTCAAAAGACTGGCTTCTTTGAACGAAGCGAAGTCCGTGAGGGCACACGGTGGTTGGATAGCCTTCCTCCGACGTCCGTCACAGCGGTGGGTGGGGGTTGAGCGGGTTCGCTTTACCGAGTTCCGGTGAGGTTTGTTACCAGATGACAAGATGAACGGCTCTCTACAGGAACTCGGCTCTCATCTTTCACTTTGAAAACCCGTTCAAAAATGTGAGTGTGAATGTTTGTCCACTCAAGTTGTTTACGACAACGGACTACAGTCGGGTCCAGACTCCGATCATTACATTACAATATTACTGATTTTAAAATGTAAGGCGTTACACTACTTTTGCATTACTTTAAGTTACTTTCACCGATACAACTTCAGTATGAATCTGGTAATGTGACGCTCAGTGAGCTCATGACATATATGTGGAAAGTGATGTGGTGTCTGAGCTAGGATTGCTGTTAAAAACAGTCAGATATAATAACAGTGCTTTAAAATGATTGTTTATTAAATAAAAGCAACAACAATCTTTACTCTCAACACGCTGCCATCTTATATTAACAGATCAGGGAGTGAGGTGGTGGGGGCTCCAAGCCTATATTTGCCTTGGTCCCCAAATGCCTTGATACGGCCTTGGATGTGGGACTGACTTCTGGGGTGATCTGATTCTATCACATGTATAAATATTAAATGCTAATATATTATTGCTTTTCACTGGTAAAAATGTGTATTGGGGACAAATCTACCTACTTTTTTTCTTTTCAAGCACTTTGTTTTGTTTTCTTGATTTTATGTGAATAATTTCCTACCCTTTCTCTCTCTAACCTTCCTGCATGCTGCATGTTTTCTCCGTCTTCCAGAAAAAACTGTTTCCTAGACTTCCTACTTTCTAACGATCAGCCAAAGGGATCTTCACATGCGCGGCACTCCAGCAGTAATGAGTTGAAATCACCGGGGCACAGATCATGAACTCAGCTGAGGCAAAGCACGTCAGAAAAGCACAAAATACCAGAGAATATGCGCTGATATGAACAATCGCAAGTCAATTATTTTGTTTTAGTGGAGCGATTTTGTGAATGTTGCAGCGGCCGCCCGCAGGATGCAGCTGAGCCGTTAACGCTGCGTCCTCTCTGCCCGCAAAGCTGAGTCCATAAATGACGTAATAAATGCAGACACTGGATCTTTCTTCAGGTTTCCCGCAATTTGAATTTTTAAGGAACACATCTTGATTCTGGGTATAAAAATGCATTGTAATTACCGCGTTACTGACAATTGTACCGAGTAAATATTACCATTTTCTTTCCCTGTAATGCCTTACATTACCACATTACAGCAAAAAGCAATGCATTACAGTAATTAATTACTTTTGTACCGCTTTACTCCCAACACTGTCTGGTAGACATTCCTGCAGTCAGCATGCCAATTGCACGCTCCCTCAAAGGTTGCAACATCTGTGGCATTGTGCTGTTTGATCAAACTGCACATGTCAGGGTGTCCTTTTATTGTGGGCAGTCTAAGGCACACCTGTACATTATTCATGCTGTCTAATCAGCCCCTTGATATGCCACACCTGTGAGGTGGGATGGATTATCTTGGTAAAGGAAAAGTGTCACAGACTTTTTCTCACATGGTTGAAAAAAATTGTTCAACTGTTACTGGTATATATGGTTACCACTAGCTTCTTCAAACAGAGACCATTTTTGGACTCTAATTGGTTATTTTCTCTTCTAGTCCCACCTGTTCCAATTGCTGATTGTTTCTTTTTTTCTGTTTGCCTATCTTTTCCATTTTCTGATTGGATTTTCATCAGTTTTTGTTGTCTTTTATTTATTGACGGGAAAAATCTGCGAAACAGCGAAGTCACAAACTGCATTAGGGACTACTGCATATTCTTTTATTGATAATAAAAATATAAAGTATCAACTTATAATGTTGGTTGTTCTTCATGAGGATCTATCATGCAGAGGCATTTTCATTATGTAATTCATCTTGTATGTGGTCTGCAGGGATTGGTTTTACTTTGTGTATAAATTGAAAATCCAAAAGGGTTCAAATGAAGGCAACTGGACTTCTTTGGTTTCTTGAAGACATTTCGTTCCTCTTTGGAATTGACAAAGCTCCTCGGAGCCCTGAACCCTTTTAGATTTCAATGACCTGGATGACCGAGAACCTTCACCAGCATAAACTGAAAAAAGATTTGAACGAGCTGTAGATGTTTTATTCGTCCACCAGCTGCTAGCTCCAGTGCATTATGATCTGTTTAGGTGTACTGGTCTAGAGTAGCCTCAGTTTTCACTTCTTCAGATATTTTAAGAGCTGACAAACATTTTGAGTTGTGTGTTTCTGTCTAGCCTCACCCTAACCCTAACCCTTTCTGTCTTTCAGGGGTCTGGGCCAGGTGTTAACTGACTATGTTCACGGGGAAACAAAGGTTAAAATAGCCAGCGCAGGTCTCTTCGTCCTGTCCACTGTCACCTTTGCTGGTCTGTGTTACTTCAACTACAACGATGTGGGCATCTGCAAAGCCGTCGCTCTGCTCTGGAGCAAATAAAAGTGACTATGGACTCAGAAGCATGGGGGGCCTAAATGTTTGGTGGGAAATTCTTGTCCAGGCTAACTGTAAAAAAATCAAGCTGTTCTTTGTAAACTCCTCCGTTTTGATGATATTAAAATGATGTATGTATTGTTGTGATCACTTCCAGCCTGGGTTTTTATATTGACCTGATTGAACTGGATGCATTCCTTGTCTTTTGATCTCTAATTTGGGCTAAAATAATTTTCGGGACACTTTTCAGCAAAACATCTACTTTTGAACACAGGTATTTGACATCTATGTTTATTTTTGGGTCAGTCATTTAGTCCATCAGGAGCAGCGCTCATCAGCCTCTAAGCCAGTATGTCACACTCCGCGTTCAATATGGTTTCTTTCACAAGGTCCGTGCGGAGGTTAGCTTATCATAGCATTCCAAAAAAAATCAGAGGCTTGGTTGTAAAGCTTCAGCGGGTGCAGGGAGACTGTTTGTATCTGAGGCTGATTTAGATTGGCAGATCTGTTGTTCTGAGAGTTTATTACAGATGAGAAAGGTGATGTATGAAGTCCATCCCAACAAGCTTTGCAGCAATGCTCAACAAAACTGGATCTCCAGTAGCTAATCACAACTGGTCTACGGCAAGATGTGCTTGGACTGCTGCAGAGTGCAGTCCTGTTGTTTACCACAGCTGACTGTGATGTGGATACTCAGTGAGGTTTGAGACAGTGTGAGTAAAATCAAATTCAATTCAAAGATACTTTATTAATCCTAGTGGGAAATTAGAGTTTCAGTACACACAATTCTGAGATCAGACATATGTAGACACATGACAAGAATTGGTGACTGTGGTCATTCGCAACCGGAGTCACGCTGCCGTAATAGATCAAGAGGGTTAATATGAGGATAGAGTCAGGGGGAGGGAAAAAAAGGCACTTCAGAGTTACCCTCCACAGAACGGGCAGCTTTGCTATGCAAAAAATGAAATAAAATAAAAAAAATAAAAATAATGGCTGGAATTTGGTCTGAAATGGTCATTTTATTGTTGTTTAAAGTCTCTACCGTTCCATCCATTCCTTTTCTGCTGCTTATTCAGGGTCCGGTCGTGGAGGCAGCAGCCTAACCAGGGAGCCCCAGACTTCCCTCTCCCCAGCTACTTGGGCCAGCTCCTCCAGGGAAATCCTAAGGCGTTCCCTGGCCAGCTGAGATACATAGTCCCTCTAGCGTGTCCTGGGTCTTCTTTTAGGCCTTCTCAAACTTGGACATGCCCGGGAAACCTCACCAGGGAGGCATCTAGGAGGCATCCTAACTAGATGCCCGAGCCTCCTCAACTGGCTCCTCTTGATGTGGAGGAGCAGCGGGTCTACTCTGAGCCTTTCCCGGATGACAGAGCTTCTTACCCTATCTGTAAGGAAGAGCCCAGCCACCCTGCGGAGAAAACAAATTTTGGCTGCCTGTATCCATGATCTTGTTCTTTTGGTCACTACCCAAAACTTGTGACCATACAGTGGGGCAAAAAAGCATTTAGTCAGCCACCGATTGTGCAAGTTCTCCCACTTAAAATGATGACAGAGGTCAGTAATTTACATCATAGGTACACTTCAACTGTGAGAGACAGAATGTGAAAAAAGTCCATGAATTCACATGGCAGGATTTTAAAGAATTTATTTATAAATCAGGGTGGAAAATAAGTATTTGGTCACTTCAAACAAGGAAAATCTCTAGCTCTCACAGACCTGTAACGTCTTCTTTAAGAAGCTTTTCTGTCCTCCACTAGTTACCTGTTTTAATGGCACCTGTTTGAACTCATTATCTGTATAAAAGACACCTGTCCACAGCCTCAAACAGTCAGACTCCAAACTCCACTATGGCCAAGACCAAAGAGGTTTCGAAGGACACCAGGAAAAGAATTGTAGACCTGCACCAGACTGGGAAGAGTGAATCTACAATAGGCAAGCAGCTTGGTGTGGAAAAAATCAACTGTGGGAGCAATTATCAGAAAATGGAAGACATACAAGACCACTGATAATCTCCCTCGATCTGGGGCTCCACGCAAGATCTCATCCCGTGGGGTCAAAATGATCATGAGAACGGTGAGCAAGAATCCCAGAACCTCACCGGGGGACCTGGTGAATGACCTGCAGAGAGCTGGGACCACAGTAACAAAGGTCACCATCAGTAACACACTACAATGGCAGGGAATCAAATTCTGCAGTGCCAGACGTCTTCCGCTGCTGAAGCCAGTGCATGTCCAGGCCCGTCTGAAGTTTGCCAGAGAGCACATGGATGATACAGCAGAGGATTGGGAAAATGTCATGTGGTCAGATGAAACCAAAGTAGAACTTTTTGGTATAAACTCAACTCGTCGTGTTTGGAGGAAGAAGAATACTGAGTTGCATCCCAAGAACACCATACCTACTGTGAAGCATGGGGGTGGGAACATCATGCTTTGGGGCTGTTTTTCTGCTAAGGGGACAGGACGACTGATCCATGTTAAGGACAGAATGAATGGGGCCATGTATCGTGAGATTCTGAGCCAAAATCTTCTTCCATCAGTGAGAGCTTTGAAGATGAAACGTGGCTGGGTCTTCCAACACGACAATGATCCCAAACACACCGCCCGGGCAACAAAGGAGTGGCTCCGTAAGAAGCATTTGAAAGTCCTGGAGTGGCCTAGCCAGTCTCCAGACCTCAACCCCATAGAAAATCTGTGGAGGGAGTTGAAAGTCTGTGTTGCTCGGCGACAGCCCCAAAACATCACTGCTCTCGAGAAGACCTGCATGGAGGAATGGGTCAAAATACCAGCTACTGTGTGTGCAAACCTGGTAAAGACCTATAGTAATCGTTTGACCTCTGTTATTGCCAACAAAGGTTATGTTACAAAGTATTGAGTTGAATTTTTGTTATTGACCAAATACTTATTTTCCACCCTGATTTACAAACAAATTCTTTAAAAATCCTGCCATGTGAATTCATGGATTATTTTTCACATTCTGTCTCTCACAGTTGAAGTGTACCTATGATGAAAATTACTGACCTTTGTCATCATTTTAAGTGGGAGAACTTGCACAATCGGTGGCTGACTAAATACTTTTTTGCCCCACTGTAGGTCCGGCTAAGCTCTCTCTTCACCATGACAGATCAGTACAACACCTGCATTACTGCAGATGCAGCACCAAGCCGCCCATCGATCTTGTGTTCCATCTATCCTTCATTCGTGAACAAGACCCTGAGATACTTAAACTCCTCCACTTGAGGCAGGACCTCATCCCTGACCCGGAGAAGGCATTCTACCCTTTTCCAACGAAAGACCATGATCTTGGATTTAGAGGAGCTGATTCTCATCCCAGCTGCTACACACTCAGCTGTGAATCGCTCCAGTGAGAGCTAGATATGTTCTGATGAAGCCAACAGGGCACATCGTCTGCACAAAGCAGACCTGATCCTCAGGCCACCAAAACGGATGCCCTCAACACCTTGGCTGCGCCTAGAAATCCTGTCCATTAAAGTTATGAACAGAATCTGTGACAAAGGGCAGCCTTGGCGGAGCCCAACTCTCACCGGACATGAGGCCTGACTTACTGCCAGTGTTCTGACTAACCATGCTTCCTCGTCGAATATTCCTACCGCAGCATGTTACGACAGTTTCGCTCTTTACAGTGTAGTAACATGCTTATTAAGCACGGTTTAAATAGGTGATATTTCTCAAAAATACAGAACTTTGGTGTAATTATTAGCAAAAGCATACAGTATTTGTCGTGATTTATTTATGGAAAAACCGTGTTTATCATGATTATGTGAATGATGGCAACCAATGGGAGAAATTTCTCGTTTACAGCATAATGATATTTCACAAGCCATTTACAAGCTAACTGTCACGTAGATGTGGCAGTGTGAGCGTCCTGTCACAATGTCCCGATTGATCACGCGCCTTGGCTACTTGGCCAAGGGGATGTCCCTTTGGCTGACTGGTTAGCGCGCATGACTCACCTGAGAGTCTGGGGATCGAATCCCACCTGGGCCCTCGTTTCTCCACCTTGCCACATTTGGCGTTGTTGGCTGTGGCAAGGTGGAGAAATGAGGGCCCAGTTTGAACTAAATAATTAATATCCAAAATCATCATCTTTAGTATAACCATCAACCCTCCACATTAAAAAGAAAAAGAAAAAAAAACTTTAACTATTGAACACAGGTTAGAATATCAACTCCAAATTAATATCCCAAATCAAAAAGGTTTGGAAAAAAGCTTTTATTTACCGGTATATATATTTTATTAAACTGCAAACAGTATTTACAAGCAGACTTTCATTTTCTCAAAGCAAAATACAAAAAAAGAAATTACGTATAATGAAGAGAAACAGATGCATGTTTGGTGTATGTAAAGCTGGATCCATCTTTCAGTTCTTTTTAAAACACAGAAAAGGTTTATTTACCTGCAATGTTTTGTTTGCGGCTGCAAACATCATCAGGCTGACGCCGATGGTGGCGTCACTTCCTTCGTTTGTCTGTTTATCCGTCCATATAAGGAAGCGGGGCAAGCGCGGAGGTGTCCGAGTCAGGCTTGATGCTAAGCCAACTCGCCCAGCCATACCGTCGCTCCTCTTGGCCAACGTACGATCTCTGGACAATAAAATGGACAGCATACGACTTCTGAGATCAGCGAATCGCAGAGTAAATGACTGTTGTGTGCTTGTTTTCATTGAGACATGGCTTAATGACAACATTCCGGACTCGGCCATACAGCTGGAGCAGCTAGCATGCTACAGAGCCGACAGGGCTCTCGTAGACGGAGGCAAGACCCGAGGTGGTGGGGTCTGTGTTTACATCCGTGACGAGTGGTGTAGTGATGCCACTGTAGTACGAAAACGCTGCTCATCACTGGCAGAGTTCATGATCGTGAAGTGTCGCCCCTTCTACTTGCCCAGGGAGGTAAGTTCGATCTTTTTGGTCGCTACTTATATACCTCCATCTAGCAACAACAGCGATAGAAATGCGGCGCTGAACGAATTGTATCAGGCCATCAGTGAGCAACAAACAGCACACCCAGACGGTTTCATCATCCTCGCAGGAGACTTTAATCACACTGATCTTAAAACTGTTCTCCGGAAGTTTCATCAGCATGTACATTTTCCAACAAGGGGAGAAAACATACTGGACCTGGTCTACACACAGGAAAAAGGAGCATACAAAGCCATTCCCCTCCCCCATATCGGCACCTCTGATCACCTCACTGTGATGCTAATGCCAGCATACAGACAGAGAGTGAAGGTTGTCAAACCGGTTATGAAAGAGGTAAAAGTGTGGCCACAGGGGGCCACCTCTGCTCTTCAAGACTGCTTTGGGTCAACTGATTGGGACATATTCAGGGAAGCAGCTACCTACAACAATATCATAGACATCGAGGAGTACACAGATACGGTGAGCTCATACATCACCAAATGCATTGATGACGTTACACAGGTGAAAAGCATCACAACTCGAGCAAACCGGAAGCCATGGCTCACAGGAGATGTCCTCAGGCTGCTAAAGGCCAGAGACAAGGCCTTCAGAGCTGGGGATGAAATAGGCCTGAGAACAGCGAGAGCAAACCTGTCCCATGGCATCAGGAAAGCGAAACAGGACTACACACACAAGATAACCTCCCACTTCAATGACAGCAAGGACACACGGAGCCTATGGCAAGGCATCCAGGCTATTACAGACTACAAGCCTGCAGCGCGTAGATGTGAGAACGACACCACTCTGCTCAACAACCTGAACAGCTTCTTTGCACGATTTGAGACACAGAACAACACACGCCCACAGAAAACACCACCACCTCCACACGACCAGCCTCTGTGCCTGTCTGTTGCCAGCGTGAAGAGGACACTCATCACCATGAACGCCCGGAGAGCAGCAGGTCCGGACAACATCCCTGGTAGTGTGCTGAAAGACTGCGCAGAGGAGCTGAAGAATGTCTTCACAGACATCTTTAACACCTCGCTGAGGCAAGCCACTGTCCCATCATGTTTCAAGACTGCCACCATCATACCTGTACCAAAGAAACCATCCCCAGCTTGTTTCAATGACTACCGCCCCGTGGCACTGACACCCATTATTATGAAGTGCTTTGAACGACTAGTCATGTCACACATCAAATCCACCCTACCTCCCACTCTGGACCCATACCAGTTCGCATACAGAGCGAAACGATCCACAGAGGATGCAATCTGCTCTGCCCTCCACCCAGCCCTAACTCATCTGGACAAGAAAGATTCATATGTGAGAATGCTGTTCATAGACTTTAGCTCAGCATTCAACACCATAATACCACAACAACTCATCTGTAAACTGGACAGACTGGGCCTCAGCACCTCCCTTTGCAACTGGCTGCTGGATTTCCTCAGCCAGAGGCCGCAAGTGGTGCGTGTGGGCAACAAGGTCTCAAACAGCATCACCCTGAGCACGGGGGCTCCACAAGGCTGTGTGCTCAGTCCTCTGCTCTTTACCCTGCTGACACATGACTGCGCACCAACCTACAGCTCCAACCACCTTGTGAAGTTTGCGGACGACACAACGCTGGTGGGGCTCATCACCAAGGACGACGAGATCCACTACAGGAAAGAGGTTGAGCTCCTGACCACTTGGTGCAGAGACAACAACCTCCAGCTAAATGTTAGTAAGACCAAGGAGATCATTGTCAACTTCCAGAGAGGCCACAACAACTACCCCCCATTGACCATCGACGGCGCTGCGGTGGAGAGAGTGAGCAGCACGAAGTTCCTGGGGGTGCACATCAGGGAGGACCTCTCCTGGACCACCAACACAGCTTCACTGGCCAAGAAAGCACAACTGCTCCTCTACTTCCTGCGCAAACTCAAGCGGGCAAGTGCTCCACCACCCATCCTGATCACATTCTACAGAGGAACTATTGAAAGCATCCTCTCCAGCTGTATCACTGTGTGGGGCGTTAGCTGCACTGACTATAACAGGAAAGCTCTACAGCGCATTGTGAGAACAGCTGAGAGGATAGTTGGTGCACCACTCCCCTCCCTGCAAGACATTTACACCGCTCGCCTCACCCGCAAAGCCATCACAATCGTCAACGACGCCACCCACCCTGCGCACTGTCTGTTCAGCCTCCTGCCCTCTGGAAAGAGATACAGAAGTCTCCGCTCCCGCACTACCAGGCTCACCAACAGTTTCATCCACCAGGCTGTGAGACTGCTGAACTCTCTTCCCTCACAGATCCCAGCCAGCAGAATCACCAGGGTGACAGGGGTATAGGATGACAGACTGGACCCTACCCCCCCCCCCCACACACACACACACCACACACACACACACACACACACACACACACACACACACCACACACACACATACACACACACACACACACACACACACCACACACACACACACACACACACCACACACACCACACACACACACACACACACACACACACACACACACACACACACACACACACACACACACACACACACACCACACACACATACACATTATACAAAAAGGAAATAGTGGTTGAACCAATAATGGGGTAAACATTTCTGATTGTAAACAACTACCTCTGCATAGAAATTGCACACACCTGCTGCTATATGTTTTGTATATTATTAGCGATATTTACCTGTTTAATATTATCTTATTGTTAGGGATGTTTTTTGTTTTGTTATTGTTGTGCATCTGCACTTTATGTAAATGTCTACGCATGGGACAGTGAAACGTAATTTCAATTCCTTGTATGGCAAGCACATTCGAAGAATTGACAAATAAAGTATTCTATTCTATTCTATTCTATTCTTTTCTATAATGGACTGGGACAACACAAGGACCATAAACACAGAACAACAGAAATACAAAAGATGGATAAAAGAAGCTATCGAGATAAGGAGACGTGGTTGTGGGACCATGAACAGAGACGATGGAGTGTACACGCTGGATCGCACATGGGACTGCATCGTCGGAGAGGGGAGTGGGCAGCAGAGGGCGACGTCCTCTGCTGCCCGCCGATAAACGGAGAAGGAAGTGACGCCACCATCGGCGTCAGCCTGATGATGTTTGCAGCCGCAAACAAAACGTTGCAGGTAAATAAAACCTTTGTGTTTTAAAAAGAACTGAAAGATGGAATTCGAAACTCAGCACAGCAAGAACACCAAAGATGTTAAAAGCTGGATCCGGTTTGAATAATAATAAAAAGCAGCAATAATATATTAAGTATTTCTTTTTTATTAAAGGTATAGCAAAGGATCTTTTTCTTTCGGGTAGATCATCTGAACCATTGGTCCGCTTAACTGTCTATCATTCTGGTGAACCATTCACGCAAGGCCGTCGTCGTACGTTGCTGGGTAGTTTTCACTTCCTGTGCAAAGCGAAGGCCGAACTCCCCACAGACGCCTCTGTTGCCGGTTTTCTGCTCGACAGGTTACCTAAAGTTCGGCATACTATTTGGAGAAATTCATTTCAGATTACTGTTAGAAAAAGTAGTTGGCTGCAAGTATGGCAGCTACTTGTAACGAGGATAACTGAGCGTTCTTTAAACGAGGAGTGGGCGGCTCTTTCCTTAAATTCAGAAACATCCTCCGCTATACCTTTAAGGCATTTTCACTCCCCATACAACCACGGCTACAGGTAGTAATCAAGTGCTTTATTGGCTTATTATTTTTCCTTTGACACAATCATGTTTATAGTGTGGTCCGTGTCATCCACTTCATAGGGGTGCAGGATCAGTTTATGCAGGCAGGAATCTTGGCTTGGCTCAAATGACAAAAACTTCCCTTTGTGCAAGGTGGACTCAAACATATAGGTGTCGTTTTTCAAGTTAGTCATGAAGAACATCGCCTTATGTCCTGAGTCCTTGATGTTCTGGAGGTCTGCAAGATTCTAGAAAGAGGGAGGAAGAATGTTGATTTAGTTGGAAGCATTCAACATGAGAGGTGCCACATAAATACTAGGATCTGCACACATTCAGACGGTTTCACTGCAAGATCACAGTCAACATTCCCATTAATGTCTAAACCTAAAAAAAAAAGGTTGATCTGATGATCATCAAATATGAAGCTATGTGGATATTCTGCTACAAAGTCTAGGTTGTAGACCTAAAACTGGGTGGGAACTTAGACCTTTTACATTAATACCCAGAAAAAGAATGACTACAGTGCCTTATGAAAGCAATCATACCCCTAGAACGTTTCTACAGCTTGTCATGGTGCAACCACTAATGTCATTTATTGGGCTTTTATGTGATGAATCAACACAAAGAAGTGAACTTTGTCTTCAAATTAAAAAAAAAAATATATAATCTGAAAAGCACGGCACACATATGTGTTTAGCCACCCTGAGTCATTATTTGACAATGATTGGAAAGGAGTTAAGTCCCCACTCGATTGCGGGGTGAAGTCCTGCTCAGTCTGTCACAGTTGATGTGCCCTTGGGCAAAGTCAGAAGGATCGTGAGGCCCCGCTTTCACGGTGCTACCAGTCTCTCCGACGCAGGTCGGAAGGACTAGCACCGGTGTTTGTCAGCCTTGCTTCCATCAGTGTGCCCCAGGGCAGCTGAGGCTACATCGTAGCTCATCAACACCAGCGTGTGAATGAGTGTGTGTGTGAATGACTGGGTGTGTTGTGATGCTCCTTGGGGGTTGTAAAATCCTAGAAGGCGCTACATTATCACAAACCATTTACTTTTTGCTGAAACTACACAGAACAAAAATGTAAGCACTTGTTTTTGCTCCCATTTTCATGAGCTGAAGTCAAAGGTCTGAAACTGTTTCTATACACAAAAGACCCATCCATTCATTTTCTGTACCCGGAGGGGGCTGGTGCCTATCTACAGCAGTCTGCAAGCAGGTGGGGTACGCCCTGGACAGGTTGCCAGTCCATCGCAGGGCAACACAGACACACCTAAGGACAATTTAGAGAGACCAATCAACCTAACAGTCATATTTTTGGACTGTGGGAGAAAGCCGGAGTAACTGGAGAGAACCCAGGCTGGGATGTGAACCCAGGACCTCCTTGCTGCAAGGCAACAGCGCTAGCCACTGTGCAGCCCCACACAAAACACCTATTAATCCCAAATATTGTTCACAAACCTGTCTAAATCTGTGTTAGTGAGCACTTCCTCTTATTCTATCTGCTGAAAGTCAGACATCACTCTTTCATACTCACCATGGCCTCCGGACAAACTTCAGTGTCAGTTCGGCAGCACACCACCATCACCTTTTCATCCTGGTCAACAGAATAAAGCATGACAGCTTTTGTTTGTTGCTGCAATTCAGTATTCCGATACGCTTGGATTCTGAATGTGGAGTCTGTAATCAAAACATGACAGCAAATGAAGAACCACAAAGAAACACAACATGTATTAATAATGAAAATTTCCAGTGCAATCACACCAGTATCTCAGAAGATATCAGACATTGACACCAGACTCATGTGAGGTGATTCAGAGTGAAATAAAATTAAAACGTGTTTTTATTTGCCAGAACAAATTCCATTTTAATGCAAATGTACAAAAAAATAATGTTTAGCCCACAACAAATTAAATGATGTTCCAAAGTGACTTCATTGCTGATGTTGGTCAATGATTATTTATTTACCGTGGAAGAGAAAAATAAATAAATAAATAAATAATTGACAAAGAGGAGCTCGAATCCAGAATGGACAGAAACACATGTAACCCCACCACCACCACCACACACACCTGTCTGACCTCACATCTATAGCGCAAGCTTGCCAACATCGTCAGTAGGTCAATAAAAACCTGAATGCCAGCATAACTATATGTTAACCAGTTTTATTTGATTATGTGATTAAATGACCAATAAAACCTTCTCAGTGGCCCAGTGGTAGAGTCCTCCCTGGGACTGGGAGATCATGGGTTCAAATCCTGGCCGGGTGATACCAAAGACCCTAAAAATGGGACCCGGCGCCTCCCTGTTTGCTTGACACTCAGCTTTAAGGTCAAAACAGCTCTATAGAGGGGTTTCAATCTTATAGAGCGCAGTGATTGGTCCACAGTGGTGAGCCAATCACAGCACTTTATCCACTTTGTTGGCCAATCAGGGCCATTTATTCATCTGGTAGGCGGGATGATGCAACAGAGTGGAACAAGATGGTGACAGCTAGTTTGAAATGGCTTTTATGTCTATTTTTGATCTATTTGGACATGGGCTTCATTACAATCAGGAGCAGATAGATGTATTTAAGTAATTGTTTTAGAAAAAAGGATGCATTTTCACCTTCTTCAACAATGGACTGCCTTGTTTACCGACATCCGTTGCGGTGAATACATCACGTTGTTCATTGTCCAGTAGCGTGCGGCGATAGTTTGAAAGGCAACGGTAGAACCTGCCCCACACCGAGAGCCATCAATGGAGTTGCCAGACCAGGTGCGGCGTTAGGCCCGGCTACTTGGGCTCACACCCCGGATGTTTAATGAAAAGCCCCGGATCTAAATCGCGGAAGTAACATGCAGTACCAAAGTCCAACAGAGAGGGAGCAGCTGGCAGTAGTTTGTATACAGCCTGCCTGAGCCTCCACCACTGAAGAAGAAGCCCTTCAGCAGCCGGCTTCTTCTACACTCTCTGCCTGAAACGCATGAGTGAAGATGGACTTAAGGACGTTTTTTGGGCAAAAGGTACAGCGACAGAACCCCAGCTTTGATGAGACTGGTGTTGACTCAGGTTTGTGAGTCTTATTTGAAAATATTTGTTGTGCTGCTGGTTTGCCTAAAGTTAGCTTACTATCAGGTAAAGTTGTTAGAGAAAGAAAGGGAATATTTACTATCATCTCACACTAAACACTAACAGGAACAATATTCTGCCCTGAAAATGCTTAATATGTAGCTTCAGATTAAAATTATGTGGTACAAGACAAATATATATGATGTTGACTAGTGCGCGCACACGTGTGTGTGTGTCAAGCCCCGGATCTTCTTCAGTCCTAAATCCGCCCCTGTGCCAGACTAAATAATATATTTATTAAATAATATGTTCATTTAGTCTGGCTTGCCAGGCTAACAATGTGTAGTTTTTACCCTTAATGTCTGGAAATATCCATTGAAATTCTGTTGAAAATGAATTAAATGATGCCCAGTTGCTGAAAAATACTGGCCATTTCATAACATATAGCCATAAAAATCGGGTCTAAAATACGAGGGAGTGGGTCTATGGCCCACTCCCAACACTTGCACAGCACCCTACGATCTTCTGTGGAGTGCACTTAGAGGAAATGCGCAGTTTCGAGTGCATATTACAGAAGTGTACAAATAATTGCTGAATTGGGGCAGGGAGCATTCTGTCATTGACCGCAATGAAAGCTGGGATGCTGGTCGCTGTGATACTTTTTTAGAAAAATCTTTATTAACAACTTTCAAACAACCAAACAATTATTTGAAATAAATTGACATTTGTTGCTGCTTTGTCTGAAACACTCAAAGCATCAACTAATAGTCCTAAAATGAAGTATTTCATTTTGAAAACGTACATTTTCAGAAAAGGCACTTGAGCCTTTTCTGCCACAGCAATGGATTGTGGATAATACCCATCAGCCAAGTCTGCATTGATGCGACGCCATATCAGACCCCCGTGTTTCCTTCTACTGGAGCCTGTGAGTACACAATGCATTTACTGATTTGTAACCAGTGGTTACAAATCTTTTGCCATTCATAAACGTTTTTGTTTTACACATTTACCTCTTCACTCATTGCCAGTGATGAGAGTCTGATGTGCTTTTCATTTTGCTGGAGATTGCGGTCCCAAGATTTTTTACCCTAATGGCCATCTGTTGATAAGGGGCTTTTTCAATGTCAAGGCACCTGGCCTTGCGAGGCGATGTCTTGCGAGGACACTGTCCTTCCTTGGTCAAAGAAAACGGTTAAGTAGAACAGACTTGCATCATTTGACCGCGGCTCCCACTGCGGTCACATAAAGTCACGTGACACGGGAGATAACGTTATATTTTATACGTATTAGTTTCAATATAAATATATAACGAGCTTTTGCCTTTTAAATTGTGTATATGTTTATTAAATTAAATATGTAAGTGAGTTACTACCCGCTAGTTACCGAAGCTGCAACTAATATGCAACTAACCAACCATAGATAACTTCTTTGGATCAAAAAAAAAACATTTTAAATTAGTTGACTTACATTTAAACTTGAAATTTGCCCCCAAAGTCACTACCAGCTTCTGATCCGCCATCCTTTTGAAAATACTGTTTTGTATTGTGGGTAATTTTTGACCAAGGCTAGGCTACAAGACACCTCACATGTATCCTTGCTCAGCTAGGTAAACGGCTAACAAACGGAGAACCCTGACGATGGATCTCCTAGGCAACTGGGGCAGGGACCAAGACATCAAGGTGAGGTTCCTTGGCATTGAGAAACACCCATTGTCTTACTCAAACACAAAAATACTGCTAGCTTGCAATGATTTAGGTATATCCTGCTCCCTATCGCCAGGGAAAATACACATCATCTCTTTAAGGCTCCCTATGTAGATCCCAGTGTGTTATTAGCAGGTTAGTTCCATTAATACTTCTGTTACTGCTGCATGGAAAAGCTAATGGCTGCTTCTGGTCACATATAAAGTTAACTCATCGCCAATAACCATGTAGTCTTTTATTTCCAACGCCATCGTGGCATAGGGGACATTTTCTCTCCCCGCATGTGCTCGACATGATCAAAAACACAAAAACATATAAAAGTTTATGCTGAGGCCTGGAAACAATGAACTACATCAATGTTTAAAAAAAAAGATCCATCGATCTTCAACAAGGATTTTTTTTTTGTATTTAATCTATTTCCACAGTTTCGAACAAACTCCCATATAGTCTTGAGCCATTCCTTACCCGTTCTGGTGAGGAAAACAAAACTTGTAACACGTTGTTCTTGCAAGGCCATGTAGAAACATTTTGGTCTTAGGCTTCCAGATGGAGTATCAGGATTAATATATTAATCATAAACTTACCACTTCCAGTCCTATAAATGTCTACTGCCCTCTGGTGGAGGATCTACAGGCAGCAGTGTCTTTTTTTTCTTCATTAGTTTCACGGTGTTGTTTCATTACATAATAAAATAAAACTGGTTATCGTTTAGTTATGTTAGCATTAGACAATAAATAGTTTAATTTTAAAATTTCTGGCTTTAAATGATTAAAAACAAAGTCAACGTCGAATAAAAAGTGAATTATTTTTAACTGATCACTCTGAGAATGTAATAACAGCACCAGGCTTATGGGAGTGCTACACTGGGTTCCTTCAAAGTCCTCAACGAGATCAGAAGATCGCTACTGATTCTTACCATGTTGTTTACGTTCTCCTAAATTCCGGTCCTCGAAGATACATTCTGTGTTTTTCACAACCAAGAATTTTCTATCATAACTTTGGATCCAACACGGCATTGGAGGTTGTCCATTTATCTTGAAGGAGTCCTCATCATAACCTGTATTTGTGAGAAAAAGAACATGTTACAAACATAAGCATAAAAACCATTTATAAAAGGGTGATTATCATGGAAAACATGGGAATTACCATTTTCTAGTTCTACACAGAAGCACACGGGAAGAATTCAGGATTCATGTAAAAACAATAAAACAAAATTAACCATTTACCATGATAATTAAGAGTATTGAGTATAAAATCACTCTTACCATTAAAGTAAAAGGAATTGTCAAAAACAGCAGCAAAGGTAATTGCAGAGCTATCTTTGGAAGCCATCGTGTAGATCTCTATGGTAGAAAATCCAAACACAAGTCACTTTTTAGTCAAGTCATATGGAACATTTTCTGAAACCAACCCAGGGTCTTATTTAACATGACTGCGTCCAATTAGGAATTAAGATGAAAAAATTATTTTTTTTTAAATTCTGACGGCTTCATCTAGGCTAAAGGTGGTTCATGCAACTGAATGATCCCAAACACAGCTGCAAATCTACAAATGATTCAATGGGCCAGTCAAACCGTACAACCTGCCAGTAGCAACACCAAATCTAACAAAATGTCAACATGGAGTCAGCACCTGCTGGAAAACAAAGTCACATATTTACAACAAGCTGATTCTAGGATTTAAACATGATTAAGTTGCAGATTTTTGTTTGTTTTGCTTGTAAATGTGGAGATCAGGTTTTAAGCAATAAACTTCAAATGTTACGAGAAATTCCTTGTTGTTTTAAAGAGACAATGTGTAATTTTTACAATTAATCTCTGGAAATATCCATCAAAATGTTGTTGAATGAAATGATGCCCAGTTGTTGAAAAATATTGGCGGCTTCGTAACATACAACCAAAATAACCAAAATAATCTGATCTAAAATACATGGTAGCGGGTCTAAGTCTCTGAGTGACACCATTTTAGATGCCATGTTTCTTTCTACGGGAGCCCATAAGAACAAAATGCATTTACTGATTTGTAATAAACTTTACAAAATTTTCATCATTCTTAAATGTTGTTTTACACATTTACATCTTCAATTGTTGCCAGTGATGAAAGGGAGCCTGGTGTGCTTGTTATTTTGCTAAAGTTTACACTCCCCAGGGCTTTTTGACCCTAGTGAGCCTCTGTTAGTAAGGTCTTACTCCAATAGAAAAATACTGCTTTCTTGCAACGATTTATGGATCTACTGCCCCCTGTCACCAGGAAAAATAAACACTGTCACTTTAAGTTAAACATTTGCATCTGCCTCTTTATTTTGGAGTTAAACCAAAAAGCCAAATATTTTAACAGTTTGGTGAAGTAACCACACACTTGTTACCTCTGTTTCGTAAACAGGAATTTAACCAGCAACCCACAAGTTAAACTAATCACTAAAGCAATTAACCACAGAAGTCTTAAAACGTTAATCTCATTCATGTGAGATACTAATATATAATTATGAGATAAAAGATGTTTCTTTTAGCAGAATGGTCTATACTTAGCAGACGAATGTGTTGCTAATGTCTTTGTGTGTGTGTGTGTGTGTGTGTGGGGGGGGGGGGGGGGCTATTCAGGTCTTGCAGAGCCATAATAACTGTTGTTATTACTGCTTTTATTTTGTAAACCCTAGAACTGAACGGTCCTTACATGTGACATGTGAGAGATTATGTATGTAATCTGAGCAGAAACCTTGTTGGTGTTTCTGCTTATTAGACGCGTCGGTGTGATTTTCTCCACTCAACTCTGCTGTGTCTGAAAGTAAAAGTGAGCCGACCTGAGGAGATGTCTCCAGATGTTACCAGGTTTCCTACAGCAGCTTCGTTTGGGACGATCTCACGTTCCTCCTCTTCCAAGAACAGAACAAAACTTTTAGTTTCTCTCCTCCCCGCCGTAATTAGTGATGGGACAAGCTAAGCGAGGCTCCGAGGCTTGTATCGAGCAGGAAGGGGGCGCGTCCATCAAGCCCTGCTTCAAGAGCATCTGGCTCACGTGACTGGTTCCTTTTCGTTGTCACTTTCAAAATAAAAGCTGCCGAACCTCACGGTGATGATTGTTTTTGTTTGGTCCATGACCGTGTGTCTGTGTGGAGTTGAGACGTGAAAAGATCTTATTGACAGAGTTCATCCAAAATTTCAGGATCACTCCTGTCAAGTCTCCCGTTTTGGACTTGAAACTGTTTTAAAAACCATATTCACTGCTTATTCCCGCTGTCTTCCTGAAAATGTCCGCTTCATTCACTGGGACCCCCCTCCTCACGGAGACCGGAGAGAGACGCTCCACTCCAGCAGCCCCTCCCACTCTCATGTATTTTTAATTCCAAAACTAGACGGGAAGTCCAGACAGACCTCGGAATCCCCCCGTCGGCAGGAACGTCAACACACCCATAGCCTGTCTATGTATATATGTGGCAAGGTGGAGAAACGAGGGCCCGGGCGGGATTCGATCCCCAAACTCCCGGGTGAAAGTCACGTGCGCTAAGCTGTCAGTCAAAGGGACATCCCCTTGGCCAAGTAGCCAGGTCGCATGATCAATCGGGACTCTGTGACAGGATGCTCACACTTTCACATCTTCCCCCCTGTTTCCACAAGCATGTCCTCGTGCTCCCGCGCAGGGTGCCACAAACTTCACATCCACCTACTTGACAGTACTACTACATAGATCCTGCCGACAACAAATGTGGTGGCAGAGGTGGTATGGGTTTGCTGGTACTAAACAGAATGTTAAGTTAAAAGATTAAAAACAACGCCACCTTGGGAATTTCACCCAAGGAAAATAAAATTGGTACCTTTAGGCACATATAGGTTCAATGCTCTCACAAAGGCGGCAGAAACGAGGTGAATGCAAGTCCACAATTTTATTTCGTGTTTTGTTAAAAGGACAGCAATTTAAACTTTAAAAATAGAAAGGGAGAATTAAAACAAGGAAAAGAAAATAATTACCAGGCTGGAGCTTACCAAGGTAAGGTGGACCCACTGGAGATTCTAGCAACAACACAAACTAAATACCAAAAGTCACCCAAAGCACCAGTGAACAGTCACACAGATGTGAGGGGGGCCCCACACCAACTCGCACACGGAAGAACCACCACCACCACGCTTGGCTCCAGCCTGGACAAAACAAATAAAAGTTAAAAACCACAATAAAATAAACTCTGTTAAAATGTACAATAGTGCTCCAAAATCCTCATGCGTCAGAGGGGAGAAAAGGTCTCCCTTTCCACTCCAACCAACACGCTGGGTGGGAGAACATCTGGCGGAGAAGCACCAGCACTGGTTAAAACCAAAACTCTGGAACAGGATCTTTCTGCTATCTCACCAATATATCATTGTGAATAAGATAAAAGAAGTTTTATACAAAATTGTTCATAGATATTAACCGTCAAAAGCAAACATCTGTATTTTTTTCCAAATGTTTCTGACATCTGTACTTTTTGTGGTTGTAAGGGAGAAACTATTGAACATGTTTTTGTTGATTGCTTTCATGTAACTTTGTTTTGGTTCCATTTACAAAGATACATTTCCAGAAAGTTACAAAAAATGTTTCTTTAAGCAAATATGAAATACTTCTTATTGTTACTAACCCTCATTTATCATCCAATGAAAAATACATAATTAACTTAGTCATTATTTTAGCAAAATATTATTTACATAAAATGATTTTTCAGAAAAGTATCCCCTCCTTCTATAATTTCAGAATTACCTTATGAAATATTGGAACAGCATTGAAAAATTAAAAAAGAAGAACAATAAATTAACAAAGACCATCAACTTATTTCATCATTTCAACTTAGACACAGCAGACCCCTAAGTGTTATGTTTCTAAGTTATATATGTTTTCGTCAGTTTTTTGTTTATTTCTTGTTTTTTTTTTGTTTAATAATTTCCTAATGTTGCATGTATGTTATTGCAATTGTAAACAACTGTAAAATGTAATCCATGGATAAATTGAATGTATTTTCTGAATGTATTGACAACAAGTTAATAAAACCTGTTAAAAAAAAACAAGCCCCCAACCAGGAAGTACCAAAAATTGCAGTTCCACCCTCATCCGCTGGGGGCTGGTATCAGAAGAGAGCAAATCCTCATTGACTCCCATGTTAAAAATGCCAATTTCACAGCAGAAATAAACATGTTTACAGCCTGGTACCAAAACACTTTTTTTTGTTTAAATTATCTAGTTTACACTCATGACAACTCTGAGGGGGGTGAATTTTTTTCTCACTCTTCTGTTTAAGTGTATAAAAGCCTAAAATTCTGTATAATTAATGAGCATCCGACCCACGTGACCACAGAGCTAGCTCCGTGGAAAGGCCTCAGTAGAGCCTCGGTCTGGCCTGGAAACTGTTCCGGGATTTTGAGTCTCTGTGTGTGTGTTTTCTTGTTTGGATATTATTTGTGCAATTGTTGGACAAAATGACTTGCTGTGGCATTGATTGCACTAATAGAGCGTCCAAGGAGTCTCCACTTCATTTTTTTCGGTAAGTAAAATTATATTTATGTATTTTAGGTCACTGCCGAGCTGAGCTTAGATTTTCACATGTACTGTTTAACCATGAAATTTAAGTGTAATAGGGTAAAACCCAGTGCATTTAACACAATGCTGCACTTTAGAAAATGGGTTGAAATATAACATGTTGGTGGAGCTGGGTTCCGACTATCGGCTTGTGGAGCTCTCGGGAGACCGATGTTTTCCATCCGGAATGCCGGCTGTTTCTCCCCGCGGCCCGGTCCATCTCTGTCTGATCGCGGCTCCTGATAGCTGCGCGGGCTGACGGCTGGTTCTCCCAGCAGCTCGGCACATCGCTGTCTGATTGCGGCTTCTGTGTGCTGCGGTGGGCTGACAGCTGGTTCTCCCAGCAGCTCGGCGTATCTGTCTGATCGCGGCTTCTGTGTGCTGTGCGACTGCCGGCTTGTGGAGGTCTCGGAGACCTCTGTGTTCCACCTGGTTTTAGCCAGCGGTCAGCCCGGCGTATCTCTGACTCAGAAGCTCTGGTGTTGTGCACAGTTAACTCCGGTTGTAGCTAGGTTTCTACCTCCGTTAGCTTAGCTCCCACCTCCGCATTAGCTTTGGGTTAGCTTCAGGTTAGTTTGTAGCTAGTTCGACCGGGTGCCGTCAGTCGATCCCAGCACCCTCAGCTCCTCCTCTCTTCCCTTTTTTGGAATTGTCTGGGCTTGATGGAACCTGTGACACGGTCAAAATGGCGGTGGTGGCCACCTCCCATTTGGCCTCAAAAAGTGATATTGGAGCCTATGGAAATTAATTGTCCAGCATATATTTCGACGGTTAAAACCCTCAGTTATGCTCTGAGTGAGCGGCGGCCCAAACAGCTCCCGATAGGTCAGTCCGCTCTGTCGAACCGCTCCTCGGTTGTTAAGGGAGAGAGGGGAGGGGGATCACAGCAGTGACTCAAAACACTTTGTCGTAGCACCACAACACCTCGGGTCCAAAAAAAAAGGTAATAAACCTTATTAACCCAGAAAAGAATATTCATACTGAGCGTGCAGGGAGGGGGCGTGCCGCACATACATACCACACCGACAGCAGTAGATCACCTAGAAGGCAAGCACGCTTCTTTTCCAACAGCACGCGGTAACGTTACAGCTTTCGTCAGGCTTCCAAATGTCGCCTCTGTCTGTATATAGCCTGTCTGTATAGGTGATAACATCAGTTATCACCAATCTGCTTTTTAACAGCTGATCAGAATACTCACCACGATCCACACGCATCCATCTTACGCTGCCACTGTTCCAAAATACAGCTACTGTTTCGTAGTGCAGCTACTTCTGTAAACAAGGGAGGAAACACTACCCGAGTCTGCTTTTTATACCCACTGCTCTGCTACTGGTGGCTGGCGGGGTCAGGTGTTACTTATTAAAATCAGGAGCAGATTACCTCATCCTGCTACATTTCAACCCCCCCCCCCCCCCCCCAGGAAAACGTCGTCCCGACGATTAAAACTTTTAATCTAACCCCACCTTTACGTCCACAGTCTAAAAACAGTACTCCAAGCACTAGACAACTGATCAGGGGGCGCCGCCAGCTGTAACACAGAGACACCCACCGACCTTGGGAGATGGTGAACATTCGAGTGCCGCCCCGCTGTTGTACGCTGTGGCCGTCGCACGATAGTACCGCCTGAGACCTCAGGTTGTGTCGATGGTGCAGCCAACGGTGGCCAATCCTCCACAGGGTCCTGCACTCCATCAGAGCCAGGCATTTCCTGATCCAGCTGAACTCCAGGGTGCAACAACTGAGCCGGCTGGAAAACCAAAGCCGCCCTGGGCTGGGTATGCTGTAACGGGCCTGTTCTCACTAGAACCCAGTCATCTTCCTCAGAAGACTCCACTTGATCCTGTTCCGCTGAATGTCCACCAGAGGCAATCATCTCAACAGGTGATCCAGCCCAAACCACAGGCTTCAGCATAGCCCGGTGCACATTCTTCACCTTCTTTACATCGTCAACAGGTGCCACCATATACTCTGGGCCTCCTTCTACCGGGACCCTCAGAACCTTGTGCACCATACTGCCCCACCAATCCTGGATCTTGTGTCGACCTTTCCAGCCTAGCTGTCTTAACAGCACATACTGACCCTCTTCCACTAGAGAGTCTTTCACCCGCTGATCATGGATGTTCTTCCTCTTTGCGGCAGCCCCCAACAACCGTTCCTTAGCACCCTCAAAAGCCATCTGTGGCTGGTTTTGATGCTCTACGATCCAGTCGTGGACACTGCCACTCACAGGCTCTTGGACCCTTCCCAGCAGGAAATCCACATCAGAAAGAAAGGAGACTCTCCTGTCGACTGATGTAATGTTGTGTTGTACGAAAAGCACAACTGTGGTAAACAGGAGCTCCACTCCCTCTTACTGGACACAGGTAAAGTTCACAGTAAGTTGTGCAGAGTGCAGTGTAGAACCTTTTGAAATAGTTAAAGGTAGTTCAGTTATGGACAATTTGAAAGGCCTTTATTTTGGAAGGCAACATCAGAATGACTTGATATT